TACCTCTGGCAGCTGATAAATGATTCCGACCCAGGACAGTAAGAGGCAGCTGCAGGCCAGCTCTTGTCAAAAGGCTGCACAAGTCAGCACAAAATTCAACTGAGTCAGAAAACATGGCAACAGCTTGGACTAGTCCATCAAGTTTTTAAAACTAATCCATGTCAACTGGTTCACAAGGTAGAGCCGCAAGAGAGGAGCAGCCAATGTAACAGGAATTAAGCCAATAAGGTGACAGGAATACAATATACATTTGAACCTGCTTAAAGGTGGTAGCATTGGTATTGGATGAAAATGTGGCTACCTACCTACTTTATTTCTACACCATAGGATACATTTTCCACCATCATCCTCAGTTTGTGGTTCACAGAAAAGTTCAGGACTCCTTTACTGTTTTATGGATGCCCATCAGCCCAGCTGCCTGTTATAAATTGACTTGTTCAGGCAGTCACACAGGGGGGTGGGAGTTGCACTGATCAGATCTGCTTTATTTTAAAGGCAAACTCCCTTAGTGAAGAGATAAGGAATTATTCACTCTCTCAATCCCAGATCCACCCGTGACTAAATGCCCCAGTTGTAAACCCAGACACAAAGCATGCTATTCCCAAAAGATTTCTTATTTTAAACCGGTGAAGCAGAAAATACAAGACGACTGCATATAAATGTCTAAATGATGCATTAAAAAAGCAGCTTAACGGCTCGGGAAGACACAGATATGTATGCAGTTGCTGTAAAGAAATAATTATGATATGCCTTTATCTGATATGACTTATGCAAGTAAAAACTATAGTAACGGAGCTCCAGGGGAGGAATAGTGCAAATAAACTCAAAAAGCTATTGGCAAGCCAAGACGCAGTCACATGGAAACTGTGCAGACTGTCAGAATCCCTCCGACATGTGAGATTATTTACTTTTTCTTCAAGGAAGATTTACATTGAATCAGGAACCATAATAAACCTATCCTCCAATGTTGGAACAGCTATCTGACAAACTGCAAGGAAAATACAGAACAAGGTGTATTCAGTCTATGACATTCTCATTCTCAAGAGCAGAACAAGAATTTAACCATTTAATCCCTTGACAAGGGTCGGCTAAATAGAAAGAAACCGACCCGACAGATTAATGCCAAATCAGAAAAAGCTCATGGCGAGATATGAGCCCTGTTATTGATTTCCTTGTTCCTTACTTAGCTGTTCCTGCGTTTCGACTTGAAACAGAGACAAATTTCAGGGATTTAAAAGCAGAAAATTGCAGCTGCCGCTTCCTGATAAACGTGTTTTCCATCCTGATCCAACATCGGGACAGTGTAGTGTGAGGAAAGCAGAGGAGAAGGAGAGGACACCTAACAGACACTATACGACAAAATAATAACCCAATGGAAACATATGATACTGAACTGCATGTTCTGACAAAACAAGATATCCTGTAACCCTAGACAGCCAATGTCTGGGACAAACAGTACTTTGATATTTGGCTATCTGTTCATATCCCCTAAAATAGTCTTTATTCAGAGATCCAAACTATTTCATCAACACAGAGACATACCGTAAGCACCTCACTCAAGGCCACTCATTGAATAGTATTTGTGCAGTCTTATTCATGCAGAGAACACCATAACCTTTCCATTATTTAGGTTCAGTGCTTATGTTCATGTTTTATGTCTTTTTTGTAATACGCAGCCTTTATGCAGGGACCAAAGGGGCTTAAAATGAGGACTGTGAACACACAAAGAGAGCTGAAAATGTGTCTTTTGGATCAACCACAACAACACGTAGCTCATTTAAAAATGTTGCCAAAGAAATCAGTGAAAATAATGAAGGGCAATTTCCAAAAAAAAGAGCCACTTCACTTTGTAGAGACATTTCATGCAGTGTTTGGGGGAGGATTTGCTAAAGAGCTGACAGCAGAACCACAATGAGCTAAATGCTCAAAGAGATGAAGTTTTAGTTGCCAAGTAGCTCCATTAGTTTCTACGGCGAAGGCGAAGCTTAATCTCCTGTCAGCTCCCCTCAAGCTAGTCTCCCAGGACTCGGGGGCTCTCTCTCCCATCCATCACCTCAACAGGGACCAAAGGGAGACTCCCCAAAGGCACGAGGATCAGAGCAATTTGCATTCACACTCAAAACATCAAGGCCCAACAATCCCACAGTGACTCTTTCTATTTCACTATATCACAACTGTCATCCAAAGGAAATGTGAAATGCCATGGACCGGCAATTACAGTTTTTCTTCAAAAGAGAGAAAGTCCAAATGATAATTACAATAGTCTGGCGGTCATCGCTCCATGCCCAATTGGAGGAAACATTTTCCTGCCTGTTTCAATGTTCAACATCAAACATCTATTTCAGGACGATTTATGAACATGCCAACCATTGTGCTCGGACCCCCTGACTGTTCAATCAATGCTGGCGAAGTACGTGACATTTCATACACAAAGGTAGACTTCAGTGCTGCTAAAAGGAGTCTGAACAACAAATACACACTGGGGCAGCACACCATGTGAATGCCGGTTGTCATAAGTCAAAATGAACTCATGTGCGTCAGGCTTACAGTGACAAGCTTGTGCATAGAAATCAGGCAGTTAGCTGCGCAATTAACCCTAAAGATTCAAATAAATGCAGCTGTGTTGTAAAAAAAACGCATATGAGAGACTGCATTGAGTGACTGACAGAACTGAACAACAGGGGTCTCCAGGCGAATGAGTTACGCCTGCCAAGTCATTACAAAGATTATAATACACAACTGCATAATTTCCCTTCCTGAAGAACAGACTACATTCAAAGTTAATGCTCTCCACCATTCAGCATTCATTTCCCAAATGTTTAATCCAACTAAAATTAGGAATTAGAGCTGGAAAATCTCTTCATCCCACCGCTGAGAGTGATATCTATATGTGCTCGCACAGCACCAGGACCCCATGATGGAGCCATGCCATAAACAACCACCTGGTTCCAAACTCAATTCGCACTCAATTAAATATCAGACTGGAGAACTGGGGAGGCCGAGTGCTAATGTAAGAAAGCAGAGCGGCTGTTACTATTCACAGATCCATTATTCTCAACGTTCCCTTTATTTGATAATCTATTTGGCGAGAAGCTCGGGATATTTTCTGTTTATGAATTTGGCACTCTTGTGTTTTCTACAAATGGTTATTGCCACGACAAGCACAAATGGATTTCCCTGATGGATAGCTGCAACAGGGTTGTGTTGCTACTTCCATTTGTTAGTGCCATTTTACCACTTGTTTGTGCATTTGTAATGAGGGAAGAGTCTGGAACATGCTGTATATCAATTAGGCCATCAAAGACAGTGGGCATTTATGGCAACGCCCTTTAACCTCAGGGTGAAATACCAGATTCTTGTTTTTGCATCACAAAAGAAATTGGTCCAAACCAAATGCTGCAATAAAACCGTTTTCCAAGCCCTTCCCTTAAAGAAGATGTCTGAAAGCATGAATTTTGCAGTCCTTTTAGGTTTGAAATAACCCTCAGCCATAAAAAAAAAGAAGAGCAAAGTTATTCATGCAATGTCTAATTAGGCTTAAAAAACACCTCCTGCTTTGCTCAAATAAGACATTTCCAGGACGCTTTAAGAGCCATTTTTGAAATATTTTTCCACTCCCTTGATTGAACAGCTTCAAAAGATTTCCACTATGAATCCCAAGGGAACCAGTTAATCCTGATCTTCTCCACAAGCAAAGGGATCATCTCAATGTAAATCAGACAGGGCTTTTGATCAATCGGTCTTAAACACATGACGCCACAAGGAGCCTCGCCGCGAACAAGGTTAACATCTTGGTTTGTTCTCCGGCTCGTAAGAGTTGGGGAACAAAACAACCGAGATGTGACGAAAAACATTTGTCCTAGAAAAACAGTTTTTCGACTAGAAAAAAATCACCAATATGTAAGATTGAGTTAACATGTACAAGCTGCAGCCTGTCAGAGAAAATGAGGACATCAGTAACATACAAAACATGTCTTGACCACACTTGACCCTCTTCCATTCCTTTCTTAAAATAGAGGCGACAGACCGAGTATACTTGTCCATGATGTAAACAAATGAGTAAACTTTAGAGTAAGCCTGTAAACGCCTCTGGATAATGAATGACAAACAACACACACCCACACACAAACACAGTTGGGCGTATGCATGATGTTTTACTGTTGGCTTGTTGTGTTTTCCAATTTGAAGGGGGTCCAATTTAACAAGAATAATGGCTATTCTTCTGATAACAGTCAAATACTCCTCCTGAGCATGTGTTTAAATAATTAGGCCCACTCGAGGAAGCTTTAATGTCAGGATGATCAATGTCAAATTATCACTCCATTTATCAACCACCAGTGTTTCCCTCAACATCTCATCCTGTGCCCCCAAAAGACACACACTCCATCTCTCTCCGTCTGCTATAATCTATTATGTATTCAGGGCAAAGTAGAGAACTGGAAAGACAAATGTCACCACATTATGAGTCACAGACAATATCAATATTGAATTTAAAAACAAACAGCAAAGGCCTTAGGATTTGATTCTCAGTTTCTCACATGAATGAATTGGACATCATCAACTTAAATTATAATAGTTTGGAGTATAAATCTGAGAGAGAAGAACATGATAACAGGACACAAGTTTCAATTATCATCCATAAGCACTCTGACTTGCCATCACAATAAGATATTGGAAAACTTGGAGAGTACACGGTTCGCATATCGCCATCTGCCTGCTGCCGGGGTTACTTCATTGTATAGCAGCCAAATAAGTATTCTGCAGTGCTTTTTTGAGTGGCTTTCAATCTGCACACTTTCCAATTTTCTCATTTATTTTCCCACTGTTGTTGCAAACTAGACCAGATTACATCGATCTACCAATTCATGCAGGGCTGCACATGCACGCGCGCGAACACACACACACACACACACACACACACACACCGAGAAGCAGGGAGGGGATGGTATAATAATGCACATATGCCTCGAATGATTCCCTGTTTAAATTCTGCGGCTTACCTTGGACGTGCAGGGCTAGCAGGAGTATCCACATCCCCACACACATCGCCATGGCACCTCAACTATCCGGATCCGGTCTGATAAGCCGAGAGTCGGTGAAAGAGGCTCACTCGAGACGACAAAGACCAAGCATGCAACTTCTGCAAATCCCACTACGGCTCGAACTAGTCCCTCACTGATCAGTATGAGACTTTCGCAAAACTAGAGGATCGGTTTTGCGCTTCTCCGTAACAAAGCATCAATTTCACGTCTGCGGCGACTTCCTTTTTTTGTGGTTGGCTTAAGCAGAGTTTGCACTAAGTGGAACCTGGCCGGATCTCCCAAAAAATGAGATCCAATTACAGCTGCAGATTTGGCGATAAGGTGATGGAGCCTTGTGTTGAGTGTTCTTATCAAAGCAGTTTAACCATCTAGCTCTAGCCTTTGTTGCTCCATCCACTGCAGCGGCTGCAGGACACTCTCTCTCTCCTTTCAGGATTGTGGATCAGAGGTAAAGTGGGCGGGAGGTCCTCGATCGATGCTGCGCTGGGAAGTTTCCAACACTTGGAAGAGTTCCTCTGGGGAAATGTCGCCTCGATCTTCCCTGTTTGATATTGACAGAGCACCTAACAGATATTCTGCTGGCACCGTCCCTGTTTTAGTTCCTTAAGTTCCCGGTTGTCTGCAGACACGGACAGTCGGAGTGATCAGACACTGCAGGCCGGTGAAGTTGTTGTAACTCTGGAAAATTGTGGGATGTACCCCCCTTTCCTCAGTCGTTTTTTTTATGTGGATGAAATACAGTGTAGCTTTATCCTGCTATGCGCACCGCCCCGCTGATGTGCCACTACAGTGTGTTCCTGACTATCGCTGACGCTTTCGGAGAGATCGGGATCGGGTGACGTTGTGCAAGGGAGGAGCCTGGATTGTACTGCGAAAAAAGCAAATGCATCGTCTGAAAGAAACACATCAGCCTTGGTAGCCCCCCTAAATAAGTGAATCCCAAACTTTTTTAGCAGGTCAAAATGACTCCATCTGTAACAGAAGGTGATAACATTGTCCGTAAATGGAAAAACAATTATAGGAGGATTAAAATAGATCCATCGAAGGTACGGGGTGGAAATGTGGGAACAGGACAACAGCAGCGTGTACAGTCATGCAGAAGTGAAATAATGCATTGTGAAATACGGTTCATATGACTAAATCCTGAAATTCAGTGAGACTGAAGGGAAACGAGATACAAAACCAAAACTGACATAGAGGCAGTTGCGGCCGGCCCATAGGGGCGCTAGGGGCACCGCCCCCCCTCTTCCCACATGTTTGATTGTCATTAACAATAAAAAAATATATTTCAAAAAAATATTTTTATTTTATTTTTATTTTTAAAGAACAAAGTACATATTATATAGTTGGTATCAGTAAAATGTATAATCTACAATAAAATCTCGTTTAAAATTGTTTTACGATGTCTAAAGTTACTGATAAGTCACATGTTTCCTGGCTGGCCGCAGCGTGTATCATCACCATCTCGTCCGGGCGGAAGAAAGGAGCCCTCAGCCAGAGCAGCAGCAGCTAACAAGCTGACTGTTGCTATCTGTAAACTCTGTAAACTATGCCGCCGAAACATAATTTCAGCCAATCAGCGTCGTCAGATCTGATGCTCAAAGGGCGCCCTGTCAGCGCCCTGGCCTGTGTGTCTGTGAGTTGTTTGGACTCTTATCCAAGGTGACACACACACACAATGTTCGTATTTAGTCTCTTGATTTTAAATGGGAAGTCAATAATTTGAGTCTTCCCAAAGCACCAGTGTTCTGCAGTTTCTGTGGGCATACTGTACTGTTGCACAGGAAGATTCATAGCTAACCACACTGAAGATTATGGATTATCTCATATTTTTAAGCCTCAATTTGTACTCGAAATAAAACACCTACATGTGCCAATTATTATGCCATAACCTTTACATTACTTCATCAAGCAAGAAAGTGTTGTATTTGTCATAAGCAAAGAAACATCAGGGATACACTGTATGACCCCTGCAGCACCCCAGACCTCATGTGAACCACAAGTCTGACGAGCATGTCAGGGTGGGGCACTGAAAGCTAAAATATGATCCATCCTTACATGTTCTCACAGTGGAGTAACGTTGTCAATTAAAAATAGGGGAAGAATAACTGGATGGTGCTTTTGGAGGGAATGTTCTTACTTTTTAAATTATGTGTGTATGCATGTGCATGGGCGATGTAGTTGACAAACAGTAACTAACCCCCATATTTCCATCCTTCCTTCCTTCCTCCTCGCTCCCAAGCTAGTTCATCAATTTCTCCAGAAACAACCAAACAGGATCAGGCCTTTGCAGGTACTGCCTGTAATGAATGGGAGGATGAATGTGATAACACTTCCCTCTTGTGGACAATAGTTCAGATAATTACAGCATGCCAAGACCATCTTGCTTGCTCGCACGTGGTCAAAATCCTGTCTTTAGCTGTAATTCACTATCAGGACCACGGAATTATCTGCTGAACAACAAGAGAAATTACCTGGCATGACAAAATGAGCACTGCGCTGGGCCAATTGGTTATTAGGGTCAGTATAGTGATTGGGGCACGGCAACATAAATCATGCTGTGTAAAGTGGAATACCACATGAGACATACTCTATCTAAGTGAAGGATGTGTGGTTAATAAACATGCCTACAATCCTGTTAAACACAATACAAACCAGAATAGGGCAGTCAAACATGGAGCATAAAGATAAACTGTAAGACTTCACATTTTGCCAGATAAAAATCTGCGAAGAAAAATGAAACCACTGCTACTTGAAATTCTGCATGCTTATCCCAAAGTGGTGGTTTTAGACAAATGGAATCGTGTTAACTGAATGTGCTAGTGTGCAGCTGAAACAGGCAAACATGGAAAAAGAAACATTCATGGTATCCCATAAGGAAGCATGAGTATCTAGGATTATGAATAAAATACACAGTATGAATCTACAATTTCGATGTTATAATACGTATTTATCTTTGAGAAGATAATCACTTAAAAAAAGCTTTAAAGGTCAGCGCAGCAGCAATGAGGTAGTAATCTCAATCTGATTTAAGATATGGGCAATTTGGGAGGAAGGGAAATGCACTCCTTTAAAGACAACTGCCTTAAATGTACGCTTGAGCAAGGCACTTAACAAGTAGCAATCCAGTTGCAGGAGCCCATTGATCAGCAGTGGTTTCACAAACCAAGGGTTTGAAGCTTTTTGACTCTAAATATTGTCACAAAAAGCTTCCATCCCCTTCCTGTGATACATAATGGCTAAAAAAAACTCCATATTTGCCCCTTGCCTTTGACACATTATCTCTGATGCCCTCTTTATTGAGTGTCTGGGGTTATGATTGATTTACAGGCTAGCTGATAACATTTGATATTTTTGCCAGTGCTCAAGGCCGGGACAGAGCCACTGTGGAGACGTAGGAACGGTTCTGCATAGTCATTTTGTAGATGCATAAATAAATGAATAAATGAAAGTAACAGATGAGGGGTTTCACTGATTAACACATCACTTACGAATAAACGGTGATGCTGCATTTATTTTACTGCAGAGAGAAAAGTTACTGATATTTTGCTGATAGTATTACTAGTGCATTAATTAAGAAATATAGAAGCACTTATATGTACTTACTTTTAGTTTCCACAGCAAATAGACAAATAGACTATTCAGTCGAATCAGACTTCAGTCCTACCTGTGAAAATGATCACAGATAGCATGTGATATTTTTTGAAGATACACAATGTTCTCCAATCCGATTCACAATTGATACATAGGAACACAATTACAATTGAATTCATATCGATCTCATGAAACTCAAAAGGCACATTTTATAAACACGAACCATGTAGAAAAAAAACTAAATTAAGTTACATCATAACATATATCAATAACTGCTGTTGCACAGGGTGTGAGCCTAATTTGCTTAAGTCGCACATTCTGTCATCACCTCTGTCAGTGATGCAAAAACTGACTTAAATATAAAAAATGGCATCTGTGGTTTCTGTGACCTAATATGAGCTGTCAATATTGAGCAGAAAAAGAATGGAAGTAGTTTGGCAAAGTGCTGATGAGAAAAAACGCAATCCAGGATTTAGCAGTCCAGAGGAGCATGACATCTGCATTGGGCCAGACCCAAGTCTCCCTCCCTGGAGAGCAGACAACTCTTTTGATCCAAACTATTACTTCCCCTGGCATGAATGCACAGTGACAGAGAAATCTGTGTCCTCAGAAACTGTGTTTGTTTTGAACTGAAATAGATCATCAATGTTACTGTATATAAGATCTGATAATGTTAGAACAAATTATATTCTTACTTCACATTGTACATATTTTATAAAGCATAATTCTCATATTCACATCTTGAATTAACATACAGTACATCCCTGCTAGGCCGATTTACCTAATTCGCCTAATAATTTGTTACATTGCAATTATATGGTTGCAAACCACTCAAATGTATTGACTTGATGCAATGGATGGTAATTGTTTCATCCACAAAACATAGACTGGTAATGTCTCCTTTTCTGAAAGGCAAACACTTATTGAGGATTAGCAAATGGTTAATTTTAAAGTCACATTTTAAAGACGTTATCATATATGATTTGTAGATTGAAGTACTATTACAGGAATAACAATGTTAAGGCCAGTAGCTCCAACCTAAACAAGACCCTGATTCTAACTGATGGGGCTTTCACATCAACGCGTTTCCAGGGCCGGTTCGGAGCTAGAGCCTGAAAAGCACCGTTTTTTCCTGTTCCCACCGCAGCGGAGCTCTAAGCTCCAGAATCCGGTTTGTTTCAAGCACCAAAAAATTGTCGTTCTAGAAGCAAGAACCGTATACGTCACGCTTACGTCGAGGGGGCGAGATTAACCTGAGCTAACAGTTAAAGGTGAGTACAGCAAATAAAAATTGTAACAAGCAGTAGCGCTGAGCAAAGGGACTAGAACGCAACCACACACTTGTAAAAAAAAAACACACTTTATAAACTCAGGCAACACTAACCAGGCTTTGTGTGATTCTGTTTATTTGTACCTTACTTTGACCATCCCTTCGCTGTTGATCATTGTAGAGAGCAGGCAGATGTTTTGTTTTGTATTATAGCAGCTATCGGATGGAATCAATACATGGGCTGCACAGGTTGTCATGTCCGACTATCACAAGTAGAATCATAATGAAAAATATGCCGGTAAAATGTGCCTGTAGAAAACGGCTTATGCCACAATAGGATAGCAACAACAAGTAGTCAAGATGGTCAGTTTAGCTTCGGTTGCCATACATGCCAACCTTTCCAAATCCAAAAGAGGTAGGTTTGCGCGTTGATACGATGACCTCGTAAGAACTCAGATGCTCAATTCTGTTGCTTGGTAATCTTCTTTATTGTTAAGAAAAGCAAAGCTATCCATAATGACTCCTAGGCTCAACTAGGATTCTCCATATAATCACTAGGTTCAACTAGGTAATGTAACATGAATCTCTGGTAAACAGGCATAGAGATAACGACATCACAAGACGAACTGACACCAGACAAAGGGAGAGAAGGACTAAATATACACATTAGGCGATGGGGCACAGGTGAACACAATCAGGGCTGGGAACAACAATCACTCTAGCAGGTGCCACACGGACAGGAAGTGCCGACACCAGGAGAGAGAGAGTAGAGTAATTCACATCAAAAGACAGATATACAAAACACAACAGCTAACAGGATACTATCGCTAAAACCTTACAGTACCCCCCCTTTTACGGACGACTCCAGACGTCCCTGAAGCCTGAGACCGTAGCCTGTCAAAATCCGTGATAAGGGACTTGTCGACATTAAAGCTGCCCGGGAGCCAGCATCTTTCCTCTGGTCCAAACCCTACCCAGTCAACCAGGAACTGTCTCCCTTTACCCCGCTTTCTTTCTGACAGTATTTTTTCACTGTATAGATGATACCTCCGTC